ATATATATATATATATATATATATATATATATATATATATATATATACAGTATGCAATATTTTGTTTTATATTGTATTTCATCACATAGTTTTGTACCGTATTGTACTGTATTTTAATGTTACATGTTGCATCACACCGTATTGTATAGTGTCCTGATGTAGTGTTGTCTACTGTATCTGTATTACTACTGTATCTGTATTACTACTGTATCTTATATTATACTGTTTTATATCATATTGTACCATCCTGTATCTCATTATAATATATCCTTTTACATTGTTATGTAGCATATTGTATTGTATTGCACCATACTGTACAGTTTGCCACCCAGTACAGTATCATATTGTGCTCTGTTGAAATGTTGGTTTTACTTTTTTTTTAATTATTTGTTTTATTGGTTTTACTGTTTGCTGTTTTATGATTTTAACAGTTCATTACTTTTACCGTTGGCTGTTGATTTGATGGTTTTTATTCTTGCTTGTATGTTAGTGTACAGCACTTTTTAAAGTGCTTTATTAATAAAGTTGTATTGTATTGTATATTGTATAGTATTATATTGTATTGTATTGTATTGTTTTAGCTGCTCTTGATGGGATCACCACAGAGAGCAAACTTGCATGTTTTATGCTGAATGCCCTTCCTGGCACAACCTGGGCTTAGAACTGCAGCCTCAGGATTACATTACTGCAGCCCTGTCGTCTCATATTGTATTGTTTCGTATTATAATATGCAAGATTACAGCGAATTGTATTGTATTGTGTTGTTTCATATCCTGTCAGTCTACATTGTAATTTGTGGAACTGTGCACTGTGAGTATTCACATCAACATCCAGTTCAAAATTTGGTTCACACGGGCATCAGTAAAGGTCAGGGCTTAACATCTAATAAACAATTGATCAAATGAGACTATTTGCTGTCCTGCAGTGATAATTTATTTAAATTGCTTTTAAGTTAAGCGGGTTGATCCTTTCTGGGAGGAACCTGCATATTCTTCTTGCACCCGTGTGTTGTCTCTGAGCACTCTGGTTTCTTCCCACAGACCAAAAATATGCATGTCTGTTAAATAAACTGTCCCTGGGTGAGTGTGACTGTGAATCATTGTTGGTCTCGTTTGTCTCTATGTGTCCCTGTGATGGACTTGTGACCCATCCAGGGTGTCCCCCGCCCCTCGCACAGTGACAGCTGGAGACCAACTCCCCATGACCCAGACAGAAAAAGAAAATGGATGGATGGAAAGGGAAGTTTATAAAGTAGTTTGTAACAAATGCAAACTTTATTTGGTGCAGCAGAATGACTGAACAAAAAGACAAAACATCAATATAAATACTTACTTTGCCATCTCTGGAAGATGTTTGCGAGGATTCTGTTTGAGGAAGAGAAAATAAAAGGGAGTAAATCTATTTTATAATGTGGTCACATTTGTAGTTGACTATGACTGGGTTTCTGCACCTTCTATTAGTTTTTTTTGGCAGCTAGAGTGATGTTTTGTTTAGAAGGTGCAAAAGGTTAATCTTGTGTGATAAGATTAGACCTTTGGTGTATTAGGTCTGAGCTAAAGCTGTCAATCTTTTCGCAAACTGGCCTCCATCCAAAAGGCTTCCCAACATGTGCTATAGATTTACACTGAGCACATGATTACGTCATGATGTTCCTCCTACAATAAAGGAGCAGTGCTTTATTCAATAGGCTATAAAACGACAGTTAAATGGTAAAAGCCCTGCCTCTAACTCGTAATATGAAACAAGTACTACAAATACTGAAAGTAACTCACTAAAAGCCCCAAAATATAAACTATCCTGAACAAGTTGGTAAAAAGCACTTGTTTAAAAATTTTTTATCAGTTAAATAAAATACATAAAAATCAAAATAGTAGTCTATATGATGCACTTTTCTCCTCATTTTTTGTCTATGTTCAGATTTTATTTTTAATTGGGATTTTTTGCCTTTTATTTGTAAGTACGATAAAATGTGAAATTACTCTTTTAGTCAAATACAGCACTAGCCTCAATATGAATAATAAACTTTAAATCAACAAAAATAGATATAATATAAAACTGCAAATAAAGAAAAGTCTGCCAAAATATTTTTATTTTGAACAAATCTTAGAACAGTTGCTTTTTTTTATTCTTAATAAAAAAAAATAATAAGGCCAAAGTAAAATACTACTATATTTTGCCTGACTACCCAGCTTTATTGATCTATTTTAAAATAAAAATGGTTTAAGGATAGAATATAAAATTGATGGTTAAATGCAATCAGTTGAGGAGAATATTCTTTTTTTGTTACATTTTATCCCAAACTTGGTGCCTGTTTTTCACCCTGTTGACAAAATCTAGGGGGTTAAGTTTCCAAGTTAGATTCTTGTACACATTTTGATATGACCAGATTATTATTATTTTTGTTACTTTGCTATTTCAAAAATAAATTGCCCCAATATTTTTTCCACGATTTATCTGAGTTCAGAAAATCTAAAACGCACATATGTAATCACAGATAGAAGTTTTGTTGAAGCCTTTCCTCTAAGGAGAAGAAGTTTTCACCTGTAACAGACTAAATGATGCTTTAACTTAAAAAAATGTACTTGACCTGAGATGGCCGGATTATTAAACTGCAATAAGCATAATTTGTAAAGATTCATTATATATTTTGATTGACTATGCTGAACAAATTTAGTGATGGATTCATGATGAATTTCAGTAGATTAAATGAAACAGCATCACAATCACTTTTAGTAATTTTATGAAACCTTTTAATGTAAAAAAAATCACAGACTTTCAGTTGTGGTCATTTACATACAACAACATTTCAACAATTAAACAATTTTAGTAAACTGTATATTCTTATAAAGAATATGCATCTTTGTGTTCAAGTAAAACAGTAAAGTCAGTGCATGTATTAAAGCAATCCATCCACCTCCTGTAAAATGAAGTTGTCTTACCTCTTCTTGGTTGTTTGCGATCTTTTCAGAGTGTCAGGGTGAGTCGAATAAGTTCGACAACCGTTGCTGTCCCTTTTTATACCAGTCTCCTTCCATCTATCAGTCAGACTTAGGTTCTTCAGGGCTGTCGCTTCCTCCTCCAAAATCCAATTAAGTAATCAGTGGAAAGCTTTTTTGGGACTACGAAGGGTTTAAAAATGTCACCCAGGTAAATCAACAACCACCACATGGCTGTGCTTGTAGTAAGGCTCCTAATTCCTCTCCTGTGCTTCTATAATACACACACACACACAAAAAGATCTGTTTTAATTTAGATAAAAAGATAAATCACCATATTACAATGCATTTGGCTTTATTTATCTGAAAATAGATTATTGTAGTTTCCCTTAAGAACGATAAAGTTTACTACTTATTGTATGTTTAATAATAGCCTTTAGATTTAGCTCCTATTTTTAGCTTGACCTGTGAGCCAGATCTCACAGTGTGTTCGTAAGAATGCATAATACAACATAGTACATGGGTACATACGGGCTATGCATCCTAGTACTTGCCAGGTACTTACATGATACATACTAGGTATGTATTTTGGTTTGTACCTGGTACTTTCCTGATAAAGTTCAAGTATGCATCTTGGTACTTTCCTATTACTTAACAAGTACCTAAATGGTACTTACTTGGTTTGTACTTTGTATTTACTTGACATATACTTCATATATATCTAGTACACACCATATTTTTCCATCCATTCATCCTTCCTACCTGCCTACCTACCTACCAACCAACCGAGTGACTGACCAACAGAACTACCTGAACTGGTTCTATTTCTAAAGGAGAGCCCAGCCACAAGAGCCACCAACAACTATGTGGCCACATCTTTAAAAGCCAGTTTGACAGTGAATGTATAGAAGATGGCCCATTCAGGCTCAATGCCCCCTGGATGCATTTGAAACTGTCAGGTTATTATTTTTAGTCCTTGTATACTGTTTCTTTTTATACTTTATAGTTTTGCTATTTTTGGGTGTAATTGGGACCTTGGGTATACAATTTTGTTCCACATTGTGTACCACATGTGATGTAAATAACAATAAAGTCACCTTGAACCTTGAATTCTGACCAGTTCTTCCACCAGGTGTTACCAGCAAACCCTCATTACACTTTTGGGCCTACTGGGTCTGAATGGCATTTTCCACCGCCGTCTGATTCAACTCACCATCAGGTGGTGATCAGTTGACAGCTCAGCTCTTCTCTTCATCTGAGTTTCCAAAACATGCAGCTGCAAATCAGATGGCACGACTACAAAGTGTATCAGCAATCGGCTGTCCAGGGTGTCCTGGTGCCATGAGCACACATGGCCACCCTTTTCTTCAAACATGGTGTTTGTTATGAACAAACTGTGACTTGTGCCAAAGTCCAGCTTCAGATCAGAGAGGCTGTTCCTCCCAGTCACTCCCCTACAGGCCACACAGTCACTACCCAAGTGAACATTAAAGTCCCCCAGCAGGTATAAAGGAGTCCCAATCTGGCGCAGCTTCCAGCACCGCTAAGAACGCCAAGAAGGCTAGGTACTCTAAACCATCATTCAATAAATAGATACAAGCAACAGTTCAACTCTTCTCATCTACTGGGGAAAACTCCAAAGTACAGGCACCAAGCCAGGGGCTGTAAGTAAACCCAAACCAGTCTGGAGCTTCTCACCACGGTACAACTCTAGAGTGGAAAAGGTCCAACTCCTCTCAAGGAAATTGGTGTCTGAACCCTTGTCATGCAATGAGATGAGCCCGTTTATATCTGGCTTTAGTACCTCTCAACCTAATGCAAGAGCTCAGGCTCCTTCTCCAGCAGAGAGGTCCCAAAAGCAAGTGTTGGTAAGCTGGCTCCAGGGTTGTGCTCTGGTAACCCACGTCTGGGCGACAGACATTGAGCTCCTTGCTGTCTTTTGTCCATACAAGTAGCCTTAATCACTCTTTGTTTCTTTGTGTGGCCTGTCCCCTAGAACCAATCTGCCTTGGAAGACCCTACAAGGGGCAATTGCCCTCAACAGCATATTTACCAGGATCATTCATGAACACAAACCCATATAACTTTATAGAGTTATACTACTTGTCAGCTATTAGAGTTATACCACTTTATCAGAGTCAGAGTTTATTGTCATTCGCACCTCATGTGATACATGTGGTGGAGCGAAATTATGTCCACAGGGTCCCAGTTACATCCAACAATAAAATGTAAAAGAAAAATAGTAATAAGATCTAAGATATGAACTAAGAAAAACATCAACTAAATATACACTAAGCACTCATAACATAAAACATTGAACATCAGCACAAACATGAACATGAGTCTGTGAGCAGATGAGCACACATGAACACATCAACATTGAAACAGATCAGCAGCAACATGAAACAGATCAGCAGCAACATGATGTGATTTTTTTTTCACAGTGATTATTCTAGTTAGAGATTCATGAGTCTAACAGTCTCAGGTAGAAGCTGTTCCTCAGTCTAGTGGTTCTACACTTAATGCTCCTTAACCTCCTGCCTGAGGGGGGCGGGGCAAAAAGTGTGTGTGCTGGGTGAGTG